GTTGCATCCAATAGGTTGTGTACGACCATGTCCCATGATTGTGAGGTTCGAATTTATTGAGGGTTTGGGTTTAAAAGCCCAACCATGCCAACTCGACCCAGGGCCCACTGAGGAAGGAAAAGAAAGAAAAAAAAAGGGAAAGAAAAAAATAACAAAAAAGGAGAAAAAAAAAGAAGAGAATGAGGATGCAAAAAATCGGGACTGCCATTCTCGACATAGAAAAGAGAAAAAGAGGAAGAAAAGGAGGCAAAATGCACTGGTGGGAGGCCTAGCATAAAGGGAGAGGTGATTCGCGATTGTCGGTGTTGGAAATTGTGAAAACCCATCTGGTTTTTAAGCGACCTGCTTACCCGCAGTGCATGATCATACCTAGAGCTTCGGGGATGATTTTTTATGCCTTTTTCTCTCCATTTAAATTTGAGTAAATATTCTAGAGATAGCTTGCATGTAGTAGAACAATTTTAAAGTCCATATTTAACTAAAAATAAGTCATGCATGCATGAAAAATTGCATGAAACTCGAGTGTTTATCACTAACCTGAGAAGGAATTCTTTTCCTGCAGGTTTTTTCTCAACCATGGAGACATTTTTTGAGCTTGATTCATTTCTTAGACACTTCAAAATGGTAAATATAAGCAATAGGTAACCCGAAACTTTCATAACAATGAGTTTTTACAAATTTTATGAAGTAAAATAAAAGATATTTACATCAAAAGGTGGGTTGGTCACCTAGTTGAAGAACCAATTGATAAAATATTTATAGATTTTAAAATTCATTTGCTTGAATTAAAGTGTATGAATGTATGGTATGATGTTTAAATAGAAATTGATGTGAATTACAAGTTAGGAGGAAAAATTGAAATAGAATGATGAATTTAGAAATAATTAGGGAATGAACTTATGGAGAATTTAAAAAATTGGAAAAATTAGAAGTTAATTATAAAATATAGTAAATTGAAAAAAAAACAAAATTTAATAAGAAACAAAAAATATATAAATATATATATAGCATAACAATAATAATAATAATTATTATTATTATTATTATTATTAAATTCACAAACAAATTTTCAAGAACAAAATAAAAGAAAACTAACATTTATAAATAAATTAAATTGTAAATTAATTTAAATAAGAAGACTTATTAGGAAGAGAAAAGGATAGTGATGGGTAGAAATTCAAATTTGTAAAATAAAAGATTATAAAATACCAATCTTAACTAGAATAGTAAGAAAAAAATAATACAAAGATTGAAAGCAACAAAAATTTAGAGACAACCTATTTAAGATCAGTATGGTTGAAATTCAGTGGTGTGATGAACTCTGTCTTTGGGTAGATGAAAGCTTTTCTAAACATGGCTGAGATGTGTGTTCTGTTCTGGGTCACCTAGCAACGGACTATTGTGCCTAATTTGTAAATTTTGTATGTGTATGTATGCCCTTATGATAGTGAGAATCTTAATATGAAAATAGTACCAATTGGATAATAGATACATCCGTTCAATCTCAAATAGAACTCTAAAATTTTAATAATTTTAAGTAGATAATTAGGTTAGAGGCAAATCGAGAATCGGGATACCCATTAAGGGCTTATGGATGTCTTGATTGAGTCGTGATTTGCGAGAAATTCAATATGTGAGTATGAGGGTTAAAATATGGCTTAGGGGGAAACTTTACGATAAAATTTGGCTTATAGGGGTTTTGAGGGATAAAGTTAACCGAGGGAAAAATTTGAGGGATAATGAACCTAGGGGGATTTTGAGTGATAAAAGGAACTAAGGGGGATTTTGAGGGATAAAATGTGATCTTGGGGGATAAATTGAACTTAGGGGGAATTTTAAAGGGCAGATGAAAGTTAGGGGAATAATGGGGGATAGATTTAAAGAACTGAATCTCTTTGTATTTCATAATTTTTAAATAAAAAGAGAAAGAAAAATTTTACATCTCTAATTGATTGATTGTCTATATGTCATATGCTTAGGGTGTAGTATATTTCTTATACTTACTAAGCGCATAGAAAGCTCATTCCATTCAATTTTTCAAATCAAGAGAATTTAGTTTTGGATCAGAATGATCTAACCCTTGAACCAGATCAAGAAAGAACTGTATAAGCACCCATGACAGAAATTTATATTTTGTAACCGAACATGTATTTATTTTATTTTAACTCTATCTTACAAACTTCATGTATTATAAATAGTATTATAATATGGTCAAGGAATGGATGGTGTATGCTTTGAATCTATATATGCTTTTCTTATTATATTTTCACAGCATAATTAGTGATTGATGAGTGTAATCCCCCTAAGAGAGAATAGGGACATCACACATTTTTTAATAAAAAAAAATTGAAATTGCTTAGGTCATGTTTGAACATTTTAAAAAAAAGTTGAAAATGATAAATATGACTAATCAATTAAATTAATAAAAATATTAATTAATTAATCAATTTAATTAGTTAAAATAATTTTTTGAACTGTTTTTTGAAGTGTCAAAATATTGTTTGAACAGTCTCAATTTTTTTTTCGAAAGGAAATTGAAGAAAACTAAAAAATTAAAACAAATAAAGAACGTTAGAAACTAAATTATAACAAAAAAAAAATAGTAAAAAGAAGTGTAAAATTTTGAAAACTAACTAAAAACAGTAATATTTATTGTTTATAATGTAACTCGGTGTAGCATTTTAACTAAGTATATTTGGTCAAGTAAATATAAATATTTTATAGTCAATAAATTGTTAGGTAGCTTTAGAAGACTTTTTAATATATCATGATGATTAATATTTTCTACTTATGTTTGACAATTATAAATATTTTATATAAATAAAAAAAATCAATATAATTAATTATATAATGTATGCATAGTGGGGATAAAAATTTAATTTAGTCATAATAAATGATAATATTTTACTACATAATAGCTTTAATAACTTTAACTAGCTTATTAATTATTTTTCACATTATAATTTTAGGGATATTATATCATGTCATATCATGCTAGATATAACACCTAAACATATCCGAAGATTTTCCCACAATTATCCTTGCTTTTTCCCAATTTTTTAATTTTCAAAAATTTTAGATGATTCTAACTATCTTTTGCTTGTTATCATTAAAGGAAAGTTTTAAAAAAAATTAAGAAAAAAATATGAAAAATAAAGCTGCTTTTGACGCAGCCAAATGTAAAACTTTCACCCTATTTCTGGCAAAAAGTGACAAACTTTATATAAGAAAAAAAAAAAAAAAAAAAAAAGGCTTCATTCATTCGTCACCTCAATTAGCTTCTTACCCATATAAATATATATTTATACAATCCAATTTTAAAAGTCCAAAATTACATGAATATATGTTGTCCTGTGTAATTTACCCAATTTAATTAATTAATTAATTAATTAACCAGGTTTTTTTAAGTGATGTGAAGCAAAAGATTCTAATTATATAATGATCATAAATTATTATCACAAGATGAAGTTGCATGTGCATTCCCGCTACAAGTCAAAAATTATGACCACCAAGATGTTGATGATGTCCCACATTAATTAATTAATTAATTAATTAATTAAAATTATTATGAAAGGAAAGGAAAGCATGCACGCACTTTCTTACTAAAAAGAAAATTGTACATGTACCTCTAATCTATCGACAAACACGTGCGCTGCACGTTCCCCATCAGACAAATTTCTTATTTATTAATTTTTTTTTTTTAATACAACATAATGATAGAGATAACATTTATAAAATTCATATGTAGTTTTATTTTACATAAAAATTGAAAATAACATTTTAATAAATAAGATTGATTTGAAAAACAAAAACAAAACAAAAAAATTAGACTATAAATGAGCATGACATGCATACAATTGTGTGTCCCCTTACAAACTACGTGATTGGGTGTATAAGAGTGGATGGTCCAGCTTTTGGGTATATATACATATATACATATATATATATATACACACACATATATTGTTTATTTATTTAGTGGAGACAAATAGGAGAAGTTTTGAAGCACCATGGTAAGAGAAAATGGTCCAATCTACATGTTGATTGACTGTAACCTACAAAATCAATTGTTCTAGTTTTTGCAGTACCACCATAAATTAGACTATTAAATCAACTTTCTCCAAGTAAAAATGAATTTCCAGAATCTGTAAATATGAGTTTAAGATGTTTAAAATTTTCAATAATATTTAAAATAAAGTTGAAAGTTTATAGACCTAATAATTAGAAAATAGGAGAATTATATGGAGAAACAAACAATTGGGGAGGTTTATATATAAGAATAGTACATATATATATATATATATATAAGGACACCAGAGGAAACAGAAATCAGTAGGTGTTGATTTTGATTCTCATCTGAAAAACCAGTATTAAGTGTTGGCTACTCCTCCTGGCATACAGACACAGACAAACACCATATATATACTTTTGCCAAAATAGAACCAAATCAACCTGCCTCCAAATTGATCACCATCACATATTCAAATTAATCTCCCAAAACTTGGATGAGCAAATTAAAAACCATGACATTACAACTGCTGATATCCAACTGTATATTTACACATTATAACACCTTCAAACAACCTTTTTCTTATGTATAAATAACAAGATAGATACATTAAATGGCAGAGATACAAAAGAGGCAGTGTGTATGGAGTGCTAAAGAAGACAGAAAATTTTGAATCATCACCATCTTCTTCTTTAAAGAATTCTCCTCTGCTGAAAATTTTTTAAGCCCGCCTACTGCTTGCTTAGTTCAGGGACTTCTTTTATGGTCATCTCTACCATTTCTACCCCTCCGAATCCTCCATCTTCTGTGGCAATGGTGGATTGTGAGTCGAGTCCTGATCCAGCTTGGATTTCCTTGAACATTGCCATCACTTGAATCATTGTTGGTCGTCTCCAAGGCCTATCATCAAGGCATGCACAAGCTACTTTTAAGTGTTGCAAAAGCTCAATCTCAAGGCTAGGATCTTCCTTCATGAGCTCAGGATCAAAAACATCGCTGATTTTTAGCTTTGCATGCTGCTTCACCCACCCGACAAGATTATTGTCCCCGAAATCGGCGGAATCTGTTGGTCTTTTCCCTGTTAGAAGCTCAAGTAAAACAACACCATAGCTGTAAACATCGCCTTTGGTGGAACATCTAAAGCTCTGGTAGTATTCTGGTGGTACATAACCTGGAGTCCCTGCCAACGTACTTACACTCAAGTGCGTATCCATTGCACTCATTAGTCTTGCCATTCCAAAATCCGATACTCTAGCCTCCAAGTTTTCATCAAGCAACACATTGCTTGATTTCATGTCCCTGTGAATGATATGTGGGATGCAATTGTGATGAAGAAAAGCCAATCCCCTAGCAGCACCAATGGCAATCTTCCTCCTCACAGACCAGTTCAGTTTTATTCCAGCTTTCTTCTGGTCATGTAGAACATCTTCTAAACTTCCATATCTCATATATTCATAGACCAGCAGCCGCTCCTCTCCCACTTTACAATACCCAAGAAGGGGCACAAGGTTTCGGTGTTTGATTTTTCCAATCGTTTCCATCTCAGCTGTGAACTCCCGATCACCCTGTCCGCTGATGTGTATTAGTTTCTTGATAGCTACAACACTCCCATCCTTGAGCTGAGCTTTATATACATCACCAAAACCCCCAGAGCCAATAAGGCTATCATTGTGGAACCCATTGGTAGCTTCAAGAAGATCTGCAAAAGTAAGCTTTCTAAGAGGTTTCTCAAACGTAGCAAGGTTGATGCTCAAGGCTTCTCTTGCACCAGTTAGCTTCCAGCTTGTGTTAGCAGTGCCCGAATGAGAACGACTATCCATATAAACATCAAGAGTTGACTCCTTCTTCTTCCTCCTCTTCTTCATTTCCACCGCAGCTACGATCAAACCAAAGATGCAGAAGAGGGAGAAAAGCAGCCCCATTGCCACACTTCCAACAAGAGATGCCTGTCTCCGGTGAGATTTCTGATGCTGAGAATTTGCATTTGTCCCTGAACTACCTCCACAAGGAGAGAGAGGATAACCGCAAAGACCAGAATTGTTCATGAACTTGTAAGGAGGAAAGGTTTCAAGCTGACCCATTTCAGGAATCATCCCGGTGAGATAGTTGTTTGACAGATCAATCTCCATAAGCATGGTTAGGGCTGTCATAGAATTTGGGATCGTCCCTTCAAGACTATTGTAGGAGAGATCCAGTATGTTTAGACCCGTCAAGCCTCCAAGCTCTTGCGGAATGGCTCCAGAGATATTGTTATGACCCAAGTTCAAAATAAAGAGATCAGACATTGTCCCGACCTCCTTGGGTATACTCCCTGATAATAAATTGTAAGAAATATCAAGAAATATCATCGACCCATTATTGTTAAATGTGGGCTGTGTGAGGCCTCTATACACCCGAGTGAAGTTGCAGGGGTTCCATGCTGAAATTCTGTTCAGCTGTTCTTCCCTAATCCCTGCAAACTCGAGCAAATTTCCAGCTCCGTGGCAGGCTCTACTGCCATCGTTCTTGATGTAAGCGTACTTCTTTCCCGCAATAAAATTGGCAGCAATTTTTCCAGATTGCTTGAAGAGTGCAGGAGGTATGGTCCCATTCAACAAATTAGTATTGAGATCCAGCCATATCAAGCTGCGGCAATCTCCAAGCTCCGGCGGGATTCTACCATAGAAAGAGTTGTTACTGAGCTTGAGAATGGCAAGATTGGAGAGGCGGCCAATCCAGGCAGGAATCTCGCCGGTCAACCGATTGTTGGATAATGAGATCCAGTTGAGATTGGTGCAGTTGCTCAGACCAGAAGGTATCGCCCCCGACAACTCGTTGAAATCTAGAATCAAGGTCTCAAGTGCTTGAAGGTGCAACAGCTCCTGTGGGATCTCGCCGTGGAGCTGATTCAACCAGAGCTTCAAATCCCGGAGTTTGGAAAGAGCCCCCAGGCTCGAAGGAATTGTTCCCGTCAGGTAATTAAAGCTTAAATGAAGTGAAACAAGCTGAGAACAGTTACTTAAACTAGCAGGAATCGACCCTATTAACTGATTGTCTTGAAGATGGAGCTCCTTCAAGCTACTCCTAGGATTTTGGCACAAACCCGGAGGGATTGAGCCGGACAGATTATTGGAACTCAGATCTAAGATCTCCAAACCGGAAAGAGTCGAGAAAGAATCAGGCAAGGCACCAGTAAATTCGTTAAACGACAAAACAAGCTCCTTCAAGTTACTCATTTCCAGCAGAGTTTCAACCGGCAGTTCTCCAGAGAAGCTGTTAACAGAAATATCAAGAGACTCCAACGAAGAGCAAGAACGGAAGCTACTGGGAATCGTACCAGAGAGTTTATTGTTGGAAATATCGAGCTCCGTCAAACTCGAACAGGCGTCCGCCAGAGACGGAGGAATCTCGCCCTGGAAATCATTGTATGCCAGAGAGACAAACTGCAAGTTATTGGCCGGTAGCGTCGGAAACGGACCTGTGAACTGGTTGCTAGAGAGATTCAAGAAAGTCAGCTGCGAACAAGAAGAAATGGCACGAGTAACCTCGCCAGAGAACTTGTTGGCGGAGATATCGAGATATTCAAGAACTAAGCAGTCGCCGAATGAGGGAATAGGCACAGAGAAATTATTTGAGGAGAGATCCAAATACTCAAGAACAGAGCAATTAGAGACATTAACTTCTCCGGTGATTCTGTTTCCCTTCAAGTTCAAGTGCCTGAGGTCAGCGCAACCGACGTCAAGAACCGAAGAAACAACTCCGGTGCCGGAAATCTTATTGTGGGAAAGGTCGAGAAGCTGCAACCGAGGGAGTGTTAAAGCACCTGAATCTCTGGCAGAAGAAAGAAGAAGATTATTTGAAAGATTGAGAGAGCGGAGGTTTGAGCAGGAAGCAAGAGAAGAAAGAGATGATAAAGGACCAGAAAGGGAGTTGAATGAGAGATCTAAGGTAGTCAATAGCGAGCCACAGTTGGATCCAGAAGGAAAATAAATGGTGCCGGAAAGATTGGCGGAAGGCAAGGAGAGAGTATCCAAGTGCTGAAGCGTGAGGAGAGTGGAAGCAACAGAGCGAAAATCTACGCTGAGGAGAATGGAAGAGAGATGGATTGAAGAAACTGTGTTTTGGCGGCAAGTGACGCCGTAGAAGGTACAGTGGTCGTGATCGGGGAGCCAGTCGGGAAGTACAGATGGGTTAGGGAGAGAAGCCTTGAAGGAGATAAGAAGGTGGGTTTCAGAGTCTTTAGTTGCAGAAAGAGAGAGAAAGATGGAGAAGAAGAAGAGGAAGAAGAGGGAGAAGGGAGTGGGAGGTGTCATCTCTGGAGTGATTAGGGTTTGGGTAGTGCCATGAGCAAGGGGAGAGAGTGAAAAGACAGAGTAAGGAAGGTAAGAAGGGTATTTATGAAAAGGAAGAGGGGGACACAGCTGTTGGTCACACGCCATGTGACTCTATCTTTCTCTCTCTATCTCTCTCTCTCTCTCTCTATTGTATAATAATAATAATTATTAATATTGTTATTATTAAAAAGTGAATTTTATTATAAAAGTAGACTGAAATTAATTGAGGAAGAAGTAAAAAATAATAATAATAATAATATAAAATAAAATAGTAATTTCTTGTTTTGTCTCTCATAGCTTTTTGAGCGTACGTGTGATAGCCAATTGATCTATCACTGTCAATTAATGATAATGAGAGATTCCATCTCTTAATTAAATGAATCTTTTTGTTCACGAGGATTAATCAAAATATATATATATATATATTTCTTTTGGCATTTATTTATACTCCCTCTCTCTCTCTCTCTCTCTCTCTTCACCTTTGAACTTAAAACTTATATTTCTCACTTTCCAAACTTGAAAAAATTAATACTCTTCTAGTCTTTTATCTTCTTAACATAATATATGTACTTTTGGTGTAAATACATACATTCATGAATGAAACATATAACAAAATTTTATTATAATTTTGCATTATATCATAGTGAAAGAATTCAATAATAATATATTTATTTACTATTTTTTTTTAATAGTACAGTCTATCTTATCTTATATAAAACAATAATATTTTTTAAAAATTATTTTTATTGATGACACACGAATCAAACCAACTAATATATATATTTTTTTTCTTACATTGATAAAATAAAATATTATGGTGATATACTTTATATTCAACTCTTTATATTAGATATATATATTAACAGTATCTTCTTCAACAATGCTAGTGACATGTTGTTGGACTTGTAAGAATAATTCTCACAAGATAATGCACTAATAACACATGAGCTAAAGCGAAATATTGTGTAGGGTGCAACAAAAAATCTTTCAATCGCCAAATATTTCATTAAATTTAAGGGGGCTTAATGATGAATTATGCATATATTTTTAAGGTTCAAGAATATATTTCAAAATTTGACCAAGAAATTTGTAGTTGAGCAACAATTATAATATTGTTTGGTCTCAATTTCATTTGTTTATAAAAGTTTGGGGATTAATAATAAACTTGGCATTCCAACTCGAGAGGGAGCATAAGTTCATGCCTAGTATTTGTTTCCCAAAACTTATTTTGTGTTATTATCCTAAGATAATTTTTAAGTTTATTTGAATACACAAATTCAAATGAAACGATTAAGGAAAAATAATAATAATAACTTTCTTTTAATTTGAGAAGCATTTTATCCTTAAAAATATTATATTATCACGCAAAACAATATAATATTATCAACCCACCTCATGTGTTTAGCATTAATTAATTGTGTGTTTGTTTGTTTAATTAAAAATGAGTTGCTCCTTCCTTAGTGTTTTAGTTCTTAATTATTTAAAACAAACTGGATATGCAATTTGCTTTTTGACTGCTTTTGTCTCTTAACAACTGGAGATAAACTTCAATTAATTCATTTCTAAATATTAATTATTGTTTGACCATCTTTGCATCTCACAAGTTTTGGGATTTAATTATTAAGCTAACACACTTTAATCACCCTCTTAATTCTCCTCCAATTATTTTTAATTACTTTCTGCTTCTTCTTTTTTTTTTTTTAAGAAACAAATATTTTAAATTTCAGCTTCTCTCTTTTTCTTTTTGTTTTTTTAATGCTGAGATTATCTTTTTACCCACTTTCTTCTGGACTTCAAATCATTTCAGAATTTTGAGATGCATTGGATTTAATTCTTTGCTTTAGTGTTTTTTTTTTTTTTTAATTAAAAATTATAATCAGGTAATCATGCCTTAATTATGGAAGTTTTATATTTACGTGAGCTTAATGTAACATTATAATGGACATTGTTCTCTTCTTATTTCGTTTAATACTAACCGTGTGTCAAAATGTTAATATATATTTTCAACTCTAATTTTTTTTTTAATTATAATTTTTTATATCTATTTCAAAACTTCAGTCTTTGTCTATCTTTTATAAGAAAAAAATAAAATAATTAAATTATATCTGAAAGTTTTTAAAAAATAATTTGTTAAATTTCATAGCAATCAATAAATAAATAAATAACCACTCATATTTACACAAAATGAGCTTTTGTAAGGAAAATTAATTTTTAATTACTTTAAAATTTTGAATGAACTATTTTTTTTTTCTTAAAGTATCCAAATATTTTATAATTAATTTAATATTTTTTAAAAAATAAATAAAAATTAAAGTTTTTAAACAAATAAAAACGTTGTGGAGTATATTATAATAAAAAATAAATTAATAATCAAGCTGTAAAAAGTGTCAAACTTCATATATCAATTTGATAATTTACTCTAAATATAATTGTTATTTTAAACAATTTAAAATTATGTCTCTCCATATTAAGAAGATTGTGAAAAATAATTAAATAAAATGTTTTTTTTTTTTTTTGGGTTAATAATTCATGCGCTCAATGCCACTTCTACAAATGACAAAATTTTAACTATTTATAAAATCTCAAAAAAATCTTGGGGAAAGGTTTTTTGGTCACCTAAACTACAAAGTTTTTTCCATATTACCCTTGATTAACATGTTCTTACTTTGTCTTGCAATTTTCTTCGTGTTAATACACTATCGTAAAATAGTGGCATAATTACAATGTTTTTCGTTTGATGATGGAGTTAATGGAGTTATATACTAACATAGAGATATTCAAGGAATATAGGCTAAAATGGAGCAGGAAATTCACTTGAGCAATCAAATAATGAGTTGGCTAGAGGAACTTCTGAAAATACCTTAAAAAATATAAACTAAGTGCACTTGTGATTATCATAACTCTTGTTGTATGTATATGCTTTTTTATAAAAAAAAAATTAAAGGATCCATGACTTTAATTTTAATGCACATGTTTCACCAGTCACATCTAAAGTATAGCTGAAATACTCATTGTCTATATGTTATTTAAGAATAACAAAGTTTTTAAGAAAATCATGATCAAGTATATTACATTGAAATAATTACAATTTTGATTCGAGAAGAATAAACTAATAAGAGTTTGAATTGTTTATCGACGTAATTGCTTATACTATTGGATGCTAATTTAAAAGATTTTGATAAGTTTCTCAAGATAAAAATATATATATCAGAGCATAGGTACCCTAGAGAGACTAAGATTAAGGTTATTTCTATTTTGTAAGTTGCAAATAAAAACTCAATTTATAGAAGTTTAAACCCAACCTGTAACACCTAAACCTTTACACTTAATTGTAGTGTCAAACTCTATTACGTTGGACCATCATGGTCATTTAAATTATATCAGTATTTTATTTTAAATTTTATTTTAAATTTTATTTTATTTTATTTTTATCTTTATTAATTATTTTAAAATTGTTCTTAAATTATTTTTAAATTATTTTATGTATATTTTCAGAAAAAATAAGAAAAAAATAAAAAAAGGGGAAAAATCCACGAAAAACCTGCTAGATGAGGGCCTGCGGTCACATCCGTGTGGCCCTGTGTGTCAGCCCCTGCGTGACACCGTGCAGGCATGTCCGCGCACTGTGCACGTAGACATGCACGCAAGTGCCTACGCATGCTCTATGCGTGCACAATGCACGACATGTTTGCTTGTGCGCGTGCAGCCCACGCAGGCCATGTGTGCTAGCAGCCGTGCAGACATGCCTTCCTGCCACGTGAACATGCCTTCCCGTGTGCAGACGTGACAAGTTATCTCGTCCGCAGTCTTACCACTTTTGTGGGTACACCACCCCATGCTGCAACAACTTTTAGGGCACTTACCCACCACGTGTCCCATCTAGATAAGTGTCGCGTGTCACCCATCCATGGCTATTTAAAGACCCATCTCTCTTCATATTTTTCTCACCATTTTCCCTTTCTCATTCTAGGGACTTTAGAGAGAGAGAGAGAGAGAGAATTTTAGTGAGAAAAAGAGGCAAGAACAAAGATAAGAAAGTAGAAGTTTAAGAAGTTATACAACTAGAACTAAAAATCCTTCATTCCTTTTCTAGAGACTAATATGACTTCGGTTTTGATAAGGAATTCTTTTAGTTTTTTTTTTATATTCCTAAGTGTGTTTTTTAGAAAGAATAATTTAAATGATTTATGATGCATGAATTCTATTATGATTGACGATTGTTTTTTTAGATAGAAAAATACAGAATTATTGAGTATGATGATTTTGATGCATAAATCTTTATAGTGATTGATTATTGCTCATTTGAATATGAATTATGGAAATAATGACTATGATGCATAAAAACATGATGATTGAAAAATGCATGCGGGTTTGGTCATTCGCTTTATATTGATAATGTCAAAGATGGTTATACTAGTGAGCCTTGACTTAAGAGGATGACCCGAAAGTCAAGTCCGGGTAAATGAGCATTGGGCCGAACATGTACTTAGATCCTCACTGAATTCTAAGTATAAAAGTTATGATTGAACGTCGAATATAAAAGAGAAAAGAATAAAAACACATTTAATTATTACTTTTGAGGAGTTTCTGTCTCTCCTTATTCTAAATATGAAATGTTGGTGAACCGCTCCATATAAATAATTGGCATTTCCGTTGAAGAGAGTAGATATACGATATGATATGTCGAGCCACAGTGGCAACGTATGATTGTGGTCATAAATTATACCCAACGTAAAAATGGAACCGACCCAATATGGAAATAGAATTAATTAGTCATTCACAATAGTAGTTAAGAATCTCCTTTGCCCTCATTGGATATATGTTAGAATGATTTTGTGCAGATTTCAGTAGAAGAGTTAAATAAAATACAAATATTGACTAGAATAGTTGTTGATACAGTATGACAATTTTGTATGATGATTCTTTTAATTTATCTTGATCTTATTGTGTTCTTGGTTTGTTCAACTAGTTTATACTGAATTGTTTGATTTATGAATGACTTTATATTTTTTATGCCTTTGT